AATTGGAGGTCGCGAAAGATACTCAATATCTATTTGTTTGAAGAAAATTGTGCTGGCCGAAATTAGCGCTAAAAAACCATCCTACAGTCGGCACTCGCGGCTCACTGTCGATGGCGCACTACCTAGCGCCATTTGTTTAAATTAGACCACCTCTACTTCTAGTAATATGACGGCCTGACGGCCAGCCAGTAAGGTTTTCTGGGAACTATTACTATAGTTTTTATAACTCACAACGTTGCTCTATTAATGTCTAACCATTAAGCCCTCTCGCTTGCAGTAGCGCGCGACCGCAGTACGCATATACACATGTTGATGTGACATGGCTATGTGAACTCACAAACGTGTTGTAGGTCTCCATACCAGGTTAAGGTAAACTGTCATAAATGGAATATTTCCCGCTATTTACAATTTAGTACATTTCCCGACATCTAATACTATAAATGTCGCCCCATCAGACGTGCTGCGACTTTCACTTGTTATGTTATGTATAACATTTCATAATTAATAAGCTAACAAAATAAAAATTTCAATGTGATAATAAGATGATCAAAAATATCATTACATTTGTTCATTGAAATTGGGGACCACTACAATGAAAGCTGCTTTTTGAGAAGTTTCTTGAGTGATAAGTGGTCACAACTATTATAGGTCACAACCTAAACTTAAAGCTCTTAAACATTAAAGGTAAGTCACCCTAAAAGTGCCCTGTTAAAATTGCAGATCATTTACAAAATTGAAAATGTTACTTTGCATATGAGGGACGAGGGTACACTTAAAATTACATCACATGGCCCCCAAGTACACAGAATAATACGTGGCTACTAATTTAGCTGAAAACTGAAAATTATTACATTTAAACCATGCGATACAAAAAATAACTATATGCTCGATTCAACTCTGTTATTCTATTCGTTGGATCTGATTCATAATAACGACATAAACATTTATTTAATGATTGTTTATTCAAGTCCCTTTATGGGAAATATTTCATAAGGTCTCTTCTGAGAGAGAAAAAAAATTTAACCGATGACACCATCAAATTTGTTATAACCACAAACATTGTGAAATGTCTTAATTCCCGTGATAACGTACACAAAGTGTGGTAAAATACATAGAAGCACAAACGCAAAACCAAGCCGTGCTGCACGCATGACGTCACGTTACAACGTCACGCGATGACGTCACGTGATGACGTCACGTGATGGTGCCAAGTCTTGCGATGAGTTTAACAGAACCAGCTGCACTCTCTTCTACCACCACTGTGTTGTTTGCCACAGAAACATTTTTCGTTGGCTTTGTTCAAACCCTGGAAAAGAAGGAAATATATAAACAAAACTGATTACCTTACGAGACATATTTAAGTGGTACGAAAGTCGGTGGATTTTCGAAAAAAAAGACCATTCTTTCGGACTACCAAAACTTAGGTCACCATCATTATTTTCCCCAGATTAGTTTTCACGTATTTTCCTTAATTAATATTATGACTTAATCGATTTACTATCAATTTATCAATATAGTAAGTTATAAATATGATTCATCAAACAATTAATGATCAACACCAGTATTCGATCATAAATTGCTTTAAATGTTAAAAATGATTTTGGACATTAAAAATAAGCAAGCTCTGTCACTACTTCATTGTTCCCAAATCATTCAGGTCACCAGAATTATGTCGAACAAGAATACATCTCGTAAGTTAATGCACGTGTGTTTTTAAGGTTTATAAAAGACTAAATATATTATAAAACAAAAAATATTCAACTTATTTATCAGATAATTATAAATGAACGATAAATTATCTGCAGCTCACAACCACTTACAGAAGTGTTGGAAGAAGTGTTGCCGGTCCCGGAAGTGGTTCTCTTGTTGCCGTTGGTGGCAGTCTGTTGCTTAAACATGTTCTGCAGGGCAGACTGGGTATTGTTCTGGGTTTCTTTTGTGGTCCTGAACGTGGTCAGGTGCTCCGATACCGACTGTCTGGAGGAGATTAGAGTTTAGTTTCTGGGTGATGGAATTGTTAATCAGTGATTGTATGTAATGCAATTTGGGACTCAAAAACTATATTATTGAACTTAACCGATAACTGGTACAAATGAGTAGGAATTCAAACTAATTTGCTAAGGAGTTTAAAAGGAATTCAGACTATAATTTGCTTTATTTCCGTTACAGCATTCGTGGAAACCCCTACCTGTGGTTAGATTCAAGGGTGGTAACTTTTTTGCTGTCGTTGTTCCAGGAATCGAACGTTCCTCTGAGACCTTGTTTTCCGGTGGGGACAGCCATATTTTATGTGATTTGCAGGGTGCCTTAGCTGAGTGATTATTTAAATGAAACACCAGTACTATCAATGATAATTCATTTTAACTTTAAGTTTAAAAGCCAACAAATTCCAACTAACAGACATGATAATAACCTGTTAGGCCGGTTGAAATTGGAAATAAAGTCAGGGAAAAATGCAAAATAAGAGGAGGTTTATAGGTAATCAAATAGCAAAATTGCCACGCACAAGTCACAACAGTAAATGTAATCAGGCACTACTTTATCTCTTATTCTGGAATATTATTTTACCAAAACCCATAATCATGGGTAGAGTGGACCGCTGTCAGTGTCTCTCTTTCCCAAACAAAAGGAAATGATATTACTTTGATTGACCGTTCTCAAATGCAAAATGATACCGAGAATGAAATCGGTCGCTCGCTTTTCCCATTCATTCACGGCTTACGAATTGTAATAAGTTTCGATTGATTACATCAATCAGATGCTGTAAAAATCTCTTTGGGTTGCGTTCGGGTCGATACCTAGTATTTCGGGGTAAGGGTGGTAGTTATTAGTATTACTTATTGAATTAGCTGAAGTTTATTGAATCTTCATTGCCGAGTACAGCTGCCTTTGGGTAGTTTTTCTTAATCTATTACAATTGTAAATGAATGGGAAAAGCGAGCGACCGATTTCATTCTCGGTATCATTTTGCATTTGAGAACGGTCAATCAAAGTAATATCATTTCCTTTTGTTTGGGAAAGAGAGACACTGACAGCGGTCCACTCTACCCATGATTATGGGTTTTGGTAAAATATCATCTCTTTTTGATTATAATGTCAGGGTACTTTATAAAGTCGAAATATAAACTGATATCTTCATTAATAAGGAGGAAGTTTCAACGATTTCGAAATCTATCCTTTAAAAACATTTCCTTGTGTTTAGGGAAGCATATCGGTCGATCACTGACTGAATATGCCACTTAATACTCATTCAAGTTGGCATTAAATTCATATATAATGACATTAAACTGTCGTGGCAATGCAGAATTTGTTGGAAATCACGAATGAGCAAAATTCTCACCTTTCGCACGTGCAAACTTTGAGCAGACGTTGCGTGCGCATCCAATATTGAATCGCCGTAAATTTTTGCATGTAATTGTTTTATAATTATATATAGCTTGATAAGCATGCAAAGTTTCAAAGTGTTTTAAGAAGAACTGTAATCACAACGGCACTCTAAAGTTGACAGAAAATGACGAAAACAGCAATTTTCAGTGATTTTAGCGATTTTCTATCAATTTGGGCGTGTCCCAACGTGTGCAACTTTTCGATTTTCAACTTTAAAACTAGCCTATGACACAATTTATACCTATAGGAAGCAGAACTGAGCTCCACAACCCAAGGCATGGCCCAACACCAGAGAATACTAAATCGCAAAATTGACGTTTTTATAAAATAATTCTTCAAAAAAGCACAAACTTCAATGACGAATATCTTTATGAAGGAGCAAGCTAGAAAAACTTTCCGGTAGATTTTCAGAATGCTTGAACAATTATCTAAGATGAAAATTTCCTCAGATTTTGAATAAAATTACTCCTTAATGGTTTAAAATTAATTTTAAAAGTTATTACTTTGTCAAAAATCAAGTTTTAAAAACGGTTAACTTGATGACGTCATCAAGGGGTGTTTATGACGTCATATAATTTTTTTATACAATGTAAACTAAAGTATAAACAATCATTTGCAAGACCTGTGGTCGGAAATGGCTGTATCTTTTATACTTTTGAATCTATGGACAATTAAATACAGGTTACAATTGACTGGCAAAGCGTCTATCCCTGAATATATGTATATATGTATCACGACAATCTATCGTAAAACAGGGGTTCTAGAAAACCCACTTCCCGATGCTCCTGAAACCTGAAACTTTTTTTGCAGTCGATTTGGTCAACGTCTAGACGCCCTGAAAAATTTCAGATCTCTAACTCAATTTTAACATGGTTTTTAAGGCACCTGAATATGGCGATTTTGGGTTTTTTACCGAATTTCGTATAACAGTGCTGGCGAGTATTTTTACTATTTTATGCAAATTTCTTAAAAATCTCAACATAACTATTTTTATTCCTGTCATCTTTGACATCAAATTAGAATGTTTTGAACTAAAAATAAATCTGCTGAACGACTTCCGATGAGTCTTAATTCCTGAAAAACTCCTGCCGGAGGCGGCCGGAGTGCACGCTTCGCGTGCACGAAAGAGGCTTCCGACGAGTACCAAAGGGGTTATAATAGTAAAGAGGGTATAATAGTAAAGGGGGTACAATAGTAAAGGGGGTACATAGTATACCCCCAATAAAGACACCGCTCGTGCTTGCCAGCACTGTGATCGATATATTCCAAATCAAATTTATCCTCTACCACGTACAAATCCGTAATTTAGTTTTCAACTATACTATCTGCAACAGCAGCACGTGGGCAGCACGTGAGCAGCACGTGAACAGATACAACTATATTCCGGGAGTAGCCGGATTGGTCGAGTAATCCTACTGCTAAGCAATAATTTTAAAATTGTGTTGCGTATTAACAGCAGGCTTGTTTAAAAGCACGGTAAATTGGCTTGATACTTGTTTGAACTGATAATTATCAACCTTTGAGGGTCATATCAAAGGTGTAGCATGCAAATTTGTGAATAGAAAAATTACCGGAGGCCTTGCAAAACGGAACAAAGTACAAGACGATACAAAGCTCATCATTCTATGACTGATGCCATTTTCTTAGCCGAAGTATTAGCTCAAAATACCCCCATCTGACCAACCACAAACTCGCCCACACAGCACACTATCACTTATACTTAAAGTTATTATCGAGCATCTTGGTTCATTTTCTTAACCTCACCTACTGTATGATGAAGGCCAACGAAAAGAGCACAGGAGAAAATGTGTGTTTCCTAAAAGTGACGTCGAAGCAAGGGACGTGAAATTTGCTGGAAGAAGTTAGATATGATTAATGAACGCTCCTATGGCTATAGTTCCTATAGCTCAAATAACTTAAGAAAATGTGCTAATTCTCAGATTCGAGAGAGTTACAGTTTTTATGTAAGAGCCTTATATACCCGACAAAACCTAAAAAGATGTGGCGATTCTCAGAACCGAAACTAATTTTAGGCCATCTTTCTGTTAAGACAATAAAAGCCTGACAAACCCAACAAAACTGAACAAAATGTGGCAATTCTCAGGTAAGAGAGCAACTTCAGGAGGTGTTTATGTAAATGTGACAACACAGCTATCTCCATCCTGTAGAGTGAGTACATACAGTATATTATACTTTGTGTACCTCTAATGACCTCTAGCAACACTTACATATTATGTAATAGTAATACATTATACAATGACCTTTGAATAGGGACTTTTACCGCTCCCATTAAAACGCCCGCCCAAATTTAGAAAAATAAATCTTGCGAACGAGCTCTGAGGGCATGAAAGTAACTTAGATCACTGTATTGTTAAACACTGATTCCGAATCACCCCCTTGACATAGGGTTAAAATGCTTTCCCGAGGAGCTATGGGCAAAACCTGGTTTGGTCAGTGGTCACGTTGTGGTTAGTGTTATGGTTATCTTTGGGGTCATGGTTAGGATTAGGATTGGGATTTAGGTATGACCGTTTAGTTGGACTGCAAAAGCGTAAAAGCCCAATCCACGTGATGTTTTAAACATTTTTGGGCGAGCGAAATAATGTAAGCCGGACTTTGCAGCCACACAAATCTAATTTCCACTAAATGTAATATAATTCAACATAAAACAATAACTTAATAATAACTGTCATCAACATTACTCATTGCTGGGTATATCTGCAATCTGAAATAGATCCGTTGCGTGTCGTGTCTAGTATATATTATAACTTTGCGTGTCGTGTCTAGTACATATTATAACTTTAATTAAAATATATGTACACGATTTACTAGACACAGAAATTAGCATCGGTTAAACTAAGTAAGTAAAACGTCATTTTACTTAGAGAGATTATTTAAATACTGACGGTGAGAAACTACCCGCGCAATTCACAACTGGATTATGACCTTTTTTACCAAAGTTTCCCGCTTAAATTCACATTTCTACGTGGAGATAAGAAAATCTAATTTTGTGAGACGTCAGAATCTGAAAACAGAATTGATAAAACCGCCAAGCATGGAATAAATTTTGTTACTACGCGATAAGAAACTCTACTGTCTTTTAAGTGAAATTAGTTACCTGCATGTATGGGTTACCAACTGGCAAAATGAGGATGAACCAAACAGAAAAAAGTCGTGTCTAACCATAAATCAAATGATAAATGGTTAGACTTAGATCCTGACGTAAAAGTACTGAGAAAATTAGAAATGAATACATATCATTAGAGCTCACTGGAAATACTTTTATTGGTAAGAAAAAGCGCAATTCAAAGAAAAGATGAAGGATTACTTCCTACTCAGTAATGGATGCATCGAAATTGAATTCAAGACAAGATCAGATTACAAATATAACATTTCACAGAGACGGACTAAAGAGGTCATGCTGTGGTCTCCAACACATAATGAGATCAAACAAACAATATTTGATAACTTATACATCACGCCGCTTGGAAATGGCACTTCCACTATTGATGTTTAGACTAAAATTAGAGAGCACAATTCCAAAGTAATTTGTATTTTCTTGGAAAGTAAGTAGAAGTACCATTTCCTCAGAGGACAAAAGAACGTGATAGAACCTGATAGAATGACAAAAAGTAACGTACTGAAGTCAAGGGGGAATCAAGTTAGCTCATCTCGTGAGCGGTTGTAAGTGATTTTCTCACTGAGTGCAGTGGACGATTCATCAGTAGTTAGTGACTGTAGCTGTGATTGTGACTGTGATTGTGAATGTGACTGTGATAGCAGACACGTGTCTTCCCTCTAACTAACAAAGCTAAAGCTAAGCCATATATTTTATATTTAAAAATACAAAAGAGAAATAAATATCTATAGGTAATAGGTATAGCCATAGGTTCTTATTACTTTATTATATTTAGTCTTACCCAAAA